AATGAGATTAATTACTGGCAATGTTAAAAAGAAAATCAGAAAGAAATCAGCAATCATTTTTATGATTGATGTAAAACAACATAACATTATTTTTTTAAGATTTGATTTATTTTATTTTTAGAAAAGGAAGGGAGGGAGATAGAGAGAGAGAGAAACATCAATGTGTGGTTGCTGGGGGTCATGGCCTGCAACCCAGACATGTGTCCTGACTGGGAATCGAACCTGCGATGCTTTGGTTTGCAGCCCAAGCTCAATCCACTGAGCTACGCCAGCCAGGGCCATAACATTCTTTTTACATCTTTAAAAAAAGATGATTGTGTCTAATTTCATAAGGCCTACAAAAATAATGTTCACAAACAAATCTGCATCGGAGTCTTATCAGTTAAGTGCTGCTTTTAGAGGTAAGAGCAGTGATTTGGTAAGAAAACCGTGCTTCCAGTGCCAAGTAAGCAAAACCAGGTGCTGCCGGCCTTTCATATGCTACACATTCAGCCCAACCCAGTTACTGCAATTTATCTATCTTAAGAACAAAAGACTTCATTTACATACTAGCACACCACTCCAGATCGTGGTTCCTCTAAAATTTTCACATGTCAGGTTACACAAATAGGAATCAAAGCAAGTGGGAACAGATTCAAATGGCTTGAGCAAAACAGTATTATTCAGCGGTGAACCAGGATACTCATCTTTCCTGTGGCTAGAGACACAGCCCTATGACAGAGACAACTCAGATTCACCAGTAGAAACACAGCTCACTATGAAACTTTACATACAAAATTAAAGAAACTGACTCTAGTCTCTCAAGAGAAAGAAATATTCCTGCCTTTTCTTTTTCTTTAAAGTAGCCCAATGAAACACATTGAAGTCAGATGCTTAACACTATGCCTTCAGCAAAAATTAATAACTATTTGTTGAAATAATTTGAAAAATTGTATCAAAAATTCCAAGAAGTGCATTAAATAAATGCTTAGAAAATGAGATGCACTTGATAGCATCTAGAATGCTTGCTGGTATGTTTTTCCTTACTTATCCTGTGTGATCTTCACATAGGCAAGTGTATGTCCAGAACCGTCCACAAGGATGGGGCTGTGCAGCAGCTACAACTCCCCAGGTCTTGGCCCCACTCTCAGAATCAGCTCAGTCCCACAATGAGAGGGCAGGTGGAGAGAGTGTGAGATGGTTAGCAAGGCTTATCTGACAAGGCTATGCATGAGAATATAAAGCAGGACCTTTCCAATCTGTCACCTGGCTGTTTTTGTCATGGAAGTCACATGATCAGAGACATATCTCCATTCACGTCACCTATTCAAAGTTTCTCAAAATATGTAATCAGAAACACAGCAAACAAAACAAGAGTATATCCATCCTTGAGTTTCTTATTTTTCCCTGTTATTAGTCAAGGTGAAGGTCTCACCACATGCTGCAGTAGTGAAGAGACTCCACGACAGTCACCAGCCAATCACTGCAAAGACCAAGAGGCCTAATTTCTGAGATACTCTGAGTCGTGATCCATCTTGCCAGGTTTGTGTCTAAGCTCTTGGATTTCAAAACAAAATTGGGGTGACTGTGAACTAAAATGGGAAGAAGTTCTAAAGCAGCTGGAAAGGATCATTTTAAAATTCATTTTGCTGTAGCCAATTAAGCAATTGTATTATAAATCTGGTTTTAGAAATGAATCAAGTGACCACTGTGTTTCAAATATGTTTTGTACTCTTCATAGAACTACAAGGTTTAGTCTCTCCATCACCGTGAATGGCTCCAGAAGATTCTTCTCTTGATTATTAAAACACTGAAGTGGTGGAATCAGACCAGACTGCAGCAAGGTATGACCCACTACAATAATCACTGCAAAATTACTCAGCAGTTGGAACCAATGGGTTAGATAAACGCCTATCAACATGGATGGCTGCCAGTGCTTGATGGGAAAAGAAAAGAAGCATTACATAACACATTAGCATCTGCGCATACAATGTACAATTAGCAGGAACATATACAGATAAAAAGATAGACATTGAAAACATTACGATGGTTGTCTGGCAGGGGGAGGAAGACAGTGGAACAAGAGAGGAATGTAGTGGTAAAGGGACTGAACAAACAAAATGAAAGAGAAGCCCTGCATAGACCAGTGATGATAATGGACTACAAACTGAGAGTCTACACTTAGCTCAGTTCTGCACTTGAGGTCCAAACTGTTGTGAAGGGGGAGGGGAGAGAACAGATCTCATGACAATGAAGTGTAACCTGTTAATTTTTTTCCTTACTATCTGAGATTATAAATCTATGGACCACATCTCTTTTCTTAATTTAGTGCACAAATCAAAATTATTTTTAAAAACAAGTAAAATAAACTCTTGAGCATTATGAAGATGATGCAAGTATATTATTCTTTTTACCCACTGTAAAATGTCTTCTATTTCCCATTTCAACCTTGTTCAGTCCACGATGGAGAGAAAACCAGAACAACTTGACAAATAATCAAACTTACCTTCAAAGCCTTCATTTATGATTCCACTGGGTTTCACTTCTTCTCTGCACTGAGAAATACTATTTAAGGAGAAATTTCTGAATAACTGAAGCTGGTCTTGAATTTTATGGAAAGTGGGTCTTTGGTCAGGTTCCTGAGCCCAGCACTGAGTCATTAGTTTCCACCTGGATGTGAGAGTAAAGGCAGGAAAGTGAATGGTGACTGGATGTCTTTAGGCAACAATTACTGATACCAAAGCCCAGGAAAGTTCATTTAGGAGAAAAAGATTTTGACTTATTGCCAGTTTTCCACAATTGATATAAATGAACCAGCACAAAGTTTTTGTTCTTATTTAATAGTAACCTGCAAAATTACTACCTTTACTGGATAACAATTTTTTTGAAAAGCTGACAATATAACAGTTATTAATCCAGGCATATAGATAGTCAGATAGATAGATAGATAGATAGATAGATAGAAAGAATAAATGGACAATGTTCCCTCAACACATAGGGGAGCTAAGAGCTATAAAAGTTGTTGAAGGTTAAAAAAACTTTATGCTCATACCTTAATATCTAAAACAAAACCTAAGGTTACTCCAGTCCACACAGACGTTTACTGGTACAACCAGAAGCAGAAACCATATTTGGATTCTAATGTTTTTACTCTTCCTTTACTCTGTCAAGAGACTCATTTTCTCCAGACATAAACAGCTGGTTGATTAAATATTATGTTTTCCTTAACAATTGCCTAAGAAATGTCAGTGCAGCACTGTTAACCAGTGTCCATTTGTTCATTAAGTAATTAATTAATTTATTGAACATTATTACACTAGCAGTGTATCAAGAGCTAGCAATGTGACAGTGTGGCACCTGACCTCATAGGAATACATTTGTATTGTAAACGTAAGAAGATGATAAAATCTGTCTCACTACAATCCATACAAGCAGGAAAAAAAGTGTAGCTCTTTTATATTGTTTGTAACTAATTAGTTCTTTCTCAGAGACCCCATCTGGCAGAAGAAAATTAACTTCATTTAATGCATTCAGTTCACAACCTAGTCCAATTCAGTATTTTAAATAATCTTGGTAGACAATTCTCAGTCTATTCTGGATAATAGTTCAGTTTCTCTTATTTTTAGGCTAGTTCTGCTCCCTCTGTCCTCTTCTCTAAGATAATATCAGGACATATGTCGGGTGAAAGTCTTGTGTGATGTACAGGGGCAGTGAGGCATCCTTTGGAGCCCACTGTTCCTTGGATCTTCACAAGTCTCAGAGTGGAATGATCAGGAATTCCACGGCAACGACTGGTTTGGTCCATCCTGCTGTGGGCACCAGCTGCTGCCTGCAGTCTGTGATCTCTTTACCTCGTCTTGGGGCCCTTCCCCAGTGAACCGGTCTTCCCTTTCCTCTTTGTAGCTGTAGCCCTTTCTCGCCTGAGGCTGCACTGTGCATTGTATCTGCAGACAAGGCCCAGGGAATCCATTCCTGTTTTTGCTGCGTGCCTACAGGGTGCTCCCTGCCCTAATCTCCAGTTTACATCAAAAAGTTCACCCATGTGGGAAACAAAGGAGGCTTAAAAGTTTGAACTAGATGTTCTCTGTGTGAACATGCCATTCCACCTCCTTCATGATGCTGGGTCTCCATGTCAATGTGGGGTGTCCCTTGCTTAGTGATCTCCTTGCCATTCCCCCACATGGAGAGGAGTGGACAGTTGCTCCATGCCCTTGATGTTGCCCACACCTAATCTGATTGAACCCTACAGAGAAGGTTGCCGGACCTAGACATCCAACATGTTCACCCTCCTGCCTTTATCTGTCAAGGTCTTTCCTTCCTATGCTTCTCCAGGGCTTAACAGGAGTGGTGTTTCTACTGACTTCCTTTTTATTAGATAAACTTCCTCTTTTTATTAGATCATCCTTGCATAGAATTGTAGGTCCAAGTCACTCAAACTGGCATTTAATACACTAACAAGGGTTATACACTAAATAACCCTCTCTCCTCCAGGCTTGGTGTTCAAGTCTACTGCCTTACTAAAAAGGTCAACTACCTGTTCTCGCTCTCTTTCTTGCTCTCTTTATTTATTTATTTTATTATTTTTTTTTTTGCTGCCATTATAAAGCTGATTGGGAGCAGGAAGAGAAAAACTCACAAAGAAACATCAATTGAGAAGTATTTAAAAATATTAGAACTACTATATCAACAGATAAATATGAAATCACAAAAAAGAAGTTACTTAAAAAGTGCTAAAGTAAACCATGTAAAATCGAACAAAGATGGAACAGTTTGGGTAAGTTGCTCACAGAAGGCCCCTGTGCAGAGGTGACATTTAAGCTAGAGACCTTTGTTGGAAAATAAGATGCTGGTCATGGGAATAGGGTGGGGATGGGAGTCAAGGAACATACTAGAAGAAGGTAAAAGCATGTGTAAATTTCTAAATTTGGAAAGAGCTTGGCACATTTTAGAATCTGAAAGAAAGCCAGTGTGGCTGAGGAGCTGTCACTGAGGAGAGCAGAGGCGATGAGGTCAGAGGAGGAGGCGAGATCACACAGGTCGCACAGACCTGGCCAGGAGCTGGACTTGTGACACTACCAGGGTAAGCTGTTGAAAGTTTTTAAATAGGCATGATTTTTATATTTTTAAAGGGTTATTCTAGCTGATAGGCATGGAAAATGGGTGGTAGAGGGGCAAGTTGGAAATTAGGACATGATTAAAGAAGACTAGGTGAGAGATAATGGTGGTTTGGACTAAGGCAAAGGCAAGGGGGCTAGAACAAGGATATATTCAGTCAAAGGTGACAATGATCTGCAAATCACTGTGGGTATTGTGTTGAAGTTAGCTAGTATCCATTGTAGGAATTATAATCCCCATTTCATTTTAATGTGGTGTGCAAATTCTCCTTCCAGCTCTTTCATTTCTTGACAAGCACCTCAGGTTGGAGTTAGTACTGAATATGGAGCACTGTGAAGAAACCTGATACTGGTCTATTTCCTAGTATTGATCTGATGTTTTTTTTTTTCATATTTTTTGACAAGGAATTCACATTCTGGATACAGAGTGCTAAATTTGTCTTGATTCTTTTAAAAATTAGAATCACGGCTGAGAACCTAATCTTTTATAGAACCCATGGCATTTAGGAACAGTCCTGATACAATGATCCCAATGAAGAATGATTGGATTTGAAATAAAATATTTTTAAATATTTTAAGTAATAAAGTAGAATCTTTTTGACTATACTAAGTGTTGTTTTAGGAGGTGTAAGGAGAAAGTAAAGTATAATTCCCCACAGGAACCATTTCTTTCTGAAAAAAAAAGGTATTAATTCAAAGATATCAGCAAAAAATAGAATCTCTCAAGACTTCTCATACTTCAGTTACACAATTTTTATTTATTTTACTTATTTATGACCTGCCTCATTCTCCAAAGGATTTTAAAACAGTGGAAGGAAATTATTTAGGACAGAGAGAAAGAAAAAGCAAGAGGGAAGGGGAGGAGGAGACGGCAGCCATGTTTACAGTTGCCACTTAGCCACCCCACACCTCATCCCTTCACACTGCCCTCCGAAGGGTCAGCCTCTTGTTTAATCTGTGCAATTTATTTAAGCAGATATTCCTACTTTTTTCATTGACAGAGACTTCATCTACATTGAATCTAATGATTGTTCTTAATTATCTGATGGCAAAAACATATGACCTTGTAGCCTATAAAACCTTTCTGTCCCCTGATCCAGGGACAGTGAACACTGAACTGCAACACATTAAGCAAAGAGGAACTCTACAAAGCAACAGTCATTTAAAAGTAAAGAGTACAACTTGGGCTATCAATAGCATTAAGCTGGCTGTGGAATAAAGTGAAGAAGCTTTCAAGAATTTAATCCTGAAAATGCATTTCTTACAGCCTTTGGATAAATTAATTACAACTATTCTTTTGACATAGAAGTTTATCCTTACAGATAGGCACTTGTCACAATTCAATATCATGCATTAGATACTTGCACTCACTTATAGTTACAAATATTCAAACATATTACTCTAAATAAATGTACAGGTACTTTACTGTTGTTAAAATTTATCTGGGCTGGTTGTTTCAGTTCCACACATATGCATACTCATTACACTTAAAATATCTCATTTAGCTAAGTGTTCACATTCAAATTCCTTCATTCACTATGCCAGCCCTCTACTCCTCTTTGCCTTAATTTTTCAAAATAACATGAGACTCATTAACCATGTTCACTTTTTAGTGTCTAAGAGTAAAGGCCTTGGATTCATAAATCAATTAAAATCCAACAGAAGAAAACTCCATGACATCTTTCAGTGTTAAGGGGGTGAGTGTCTATGGGTATTTACACAAGGCACATAAAATATTGATTTTAAGAACTCCCTTACTTATTATTCCAATCCTGGGGAGACTCATTAGCATCTGGGTACACATATTTTTAAGGGGTAAAAATATTTTTAAGATGGTGAACCTCATGTTCTCCCATTGTCGCTTCATCCATTTGAGGAACTCTCTGGTAATTCCGGTTGCCACCGTGATACATCTGTCAGAGAACCCCAAAGAGCTGTCATTGAAGTAGATTGCCCTTTGATCCTGTTTCTTCTTGAGAGTGGTGTGGTTGTTGTGTGCACTGAAAGCCTAAGAGAACACTGAGGACTGGGCTTTCCACTATACATCCCAGGCTACGGGAAGAAGGGGGAATGCTCTGAGCTCCTGCATTCCATTAATAGCTGAACACAGTGTAGCCATCTATGGGCTCACCTGACCCCAAGTGCATGCAGGTGCTGAGAATTTAAGCAGTGAATAGAAGGTGCAGCATGGCTCAGTGCAGACTTTCAACCCTCTAAGCTGGGCCTGTGATCTCATAGAACTACTTCAAATAAAAATCAGTTCCCTCTGTACTCTAAGGAGAGTAGTTAATCTTTATCATGACAACTTAAGGCCTTGGCCAGATTGAATGGCATTGTTGAGAGCTCCATTCCTTAGCGCAGCTTGTTTTCCTGGTTGGCAATGAGTTAACCCTTCCTGGGCTCTGAAAGTTACACAGCACTCGGAGAGAGAGCCGAGCATTGTTTATTATTTAATTGCTGGCATTTGAATGGACTTCAAAACCACCAATGGAAAATTTGGCTTCATGATAACTATATTTTTATAAAATTAGAACATTAATGTATCCAGCTGAATAATCAAGAATATATTATGTAGAATATTATCTTTTCCTACTTATAGTCATGAATGTTTTTCTAGCATGCATTCTCCCTCCTCCTTCCAGTTGCATTTTGGATACCTTTGGATTAGAGCAAAATTCAACACACCTACATTTTTCTGCTCCACAATAGACAATTAATTATTTACCTCTCTGTTCCCCAAATAATATAAATGAACACATCAATCAAAATATATACTCAGTGATTCCTAAAGTGCTTATGCCAGGTAAATTTTAGCAGCACAATGAAAATTTAATGCGACTGAAATTCTGGGAAAATTTTGTGAGTGTTTGATATATATGTAAATGATGCAAAATAATGATTAGTTTGCTTATTATTTAATAAAATGTATTTCATATTTAAGTATGCTGGTTTTTTCTCAAACCTTCATCAAAGTTTTTCAAATTGTGTATAATTTCTCATCCCTAATTTACAGGATTCTTCCCATCTCTCCCCAAAATATCTGAAGCATATTTCTAGGCACTATCATCAAACTCGTTCATGTATGTGTATAACTAATCTCCCTGTAAATATCCCAGATGCTGCAAAAACTAAATCATAAATGAGCAGTGATTCAAGTCTTCCTCTTCTAGCTGGAAGGTTTAAATAATACAGAAACATCCACCAGGAAAGCATCCAAACAAGGTGCCCAGTTCTTAATCATCTTTTGGCTCCAGTCTGAATAATCCTCTAAATAACACAGCATAGTCAAGGCAGGACAATCATGGTGTGTATCCGCATACTGCTAATTCCTTTTGCACTTGCCTGTACCACACAGTTTAGCACTTTATTACATGTTGGTTGATCATCCAGCTGCTCCATCTGAGTGACTTTTCCTTCAAAATACGCTCTGAGATGCTGAAGAAACACGACCCTGGTTTAAATGCTTCTGAGTATCACACAGTCCTCAGTATGGTACTGTGCACAGAGCAGATACATTTATACTTGTTCCTTGCATGTTCTTTCAGAAACTTCTTGGGTAAAACTCCTCTTGGGAAAAGTCTCAAGACTTAATTTTTTTTCCTCAAACCAATACATGCCTTTTCTGGCATGTTTAAAATATTGCAAATAAATCTGAGGAATCATTTGGCACCTTGTTCTTTCTATAGCTGAACAACTTAGATCTTATTCATCAGCCTGCAAACTGTTCCTTTCTCAGGAACAAGATACCACTCAAACTTTTTATGATATCTTTGTTTTTAACTATCGTGGCTTGCTGAATCAAAGCAGCTGAATTTGATAGAAATTCAATGTAGTTTTCTTCAAGAATCAGCTCATCTTTCTGGTCTTGAGATAATGAAAATGCAATGCTTGAAAAACCCAGGAAACCCAGGAAATTTCTGATTTCAACCAGAGAGCCCTCTTGCGACGGAAGCCCGGAGTATCACCCTGGGCTGTGTTCTGTGCATGACTGCAGATAGTGTGAACAGTGGCTAGTTCCTTTCCATTTCCCCACCATTTGTCACCTCTTCTTTTTCCTTCCATGGAGACTGAGTTCTACATTGGTGTGACTGAAGTCCCTCCACAGGGTGCCTCTGGGGCCCTTCACAATAGCTGTGCATGCCTTCAGAGTGATGTCGACATTTGCTGGAATGTCGACAGTCTGACTGCTCAGAAGGGCCTTCATCCTCACACTGTGGCAAAGAAACTCAAGACAATATTTCTGCTGAGGTGGTTCACAGGAAGGTGGATTAGTACTCAGCAAAAATAACTTGGCTTGTTTTCTTTTATAATTAGATCTAAATCATCTACTCTTTGAGGATTACACATTTATTAGAATTCAATAGTGACCAGAATCAATTTGATAGAGTCACTATATTCAGTCATTACATGTTAAACTCATAAACAGATAACAATTTATATAATTTTTATTAGTACTATATCCCAAAGTCAGCTATATCAACAAATGCAATTCAACTTTTAACAATATAGTCTTACTTAAACAAATCTTTTAATTTGCAGATTAAGATAGTAGCTAAATCATATCTTCCAAAGTAAAACGTATACACATCCACACAGACAGAACTTTTATTTATTTATTAAAATTCACCTAACAAGGAATATAAATATATTCTACTCTTCCAAATTTTGTTTCTGATGTTATATATATATATATATATATATATATATATATATGTGTGTGTGTGTGTGTGTGTGTGTGTGTGTGTATACACACACACACCATCACACACACGTACATACATATAATCATATATTTAGTGAATTGTAACAATTTATATTTATGCAGGATATATAATGTATAAATACCAGTTTTTATTTTAAAATACCATACCAATGAGTCATAGGATTGCACGTGCACATGGTTTTGCTTTTTGGGTACTTATGTTAACGTAATTATAACTTACAGATCATCAGGACAATTTCTAGGCGGCTCCAGTCTCCCTCCTGTTTGCACATAGTTTAAAACATCAAGGTTAGAATGGGCTGGATACGGCTGATGGCCAAGAGTTAAAATCTCCCAAATCAGAATTCCAAAAGACCTAGGATATTAGAGAGTTTGCTTTAATTACAGATATCACAAACCTCATGTTTACAGTAGTTTCTCCAACATAATATTGCTGTGGTTATAAGACTGTATTTTGTGATTGGAATGATTCGTTCCATAAAAGGCAAATGGGAGACTTAAAAGCAAGTTGATCACAATAAAAAGTAGAACAAGCAACTGCCTACCAGGAACACTGCAAAGGTGATAGGAAGGCTCAGGGGACACACACACACACACACACACACACACACACACACACTTTGCTCCTTTTTTCTGGCTGAACCTGGACTGCAGACCTTCATTATGCAGACATACTTAGGGTGAATGAGAAAGCATTTCAGCGTTTTTCTGTTTTTGAGCTTGAGTGCTAGTAAACATGAAGAAGGAAGGCATGAATACAAACAGGCAGCACTGAAGGCCAACTTTTCCCCATTCCCAATTGTGCCCAGGGCCATGTCAGCCTAAAAGTTTTTGAATAAATCTTTATGTTTTGAGCAGCTGTCACTGAAAGTTTGAGGTCAACAGCAAAATTAAGGAATCTTATTCAAATGCTGAAAAAATTTTTAAACCTCCTCAAAGTCCTAATGTTTTTGAGATCTGTGATTTAAAGTTTACTTTAATGAGCAAACATTTCTAAATAATAGCTGTTTAGATACATACCTACACATTAATTCATAGGTACCAGTTCCTATTAGTCAAAGTCTCTATACCTTGGGGGAGTAGTGAAATATCTGTAGTAAATGCATTTATTGCACATACAGGAGTAAGAAGAAGGGTCAACACTGACTGGAGGGAGGGATGAGACCCAGGAACAGTCCCACCTGGGACATCAGGTTGCACTTTAGCTTAAGGCAAACTACAGCCCCTCCGGTCTTGTGTTTTCTCACATAAAAAAAAAGACTAGAAGACATCTTTAAAATTTATTTTATCTTTTAAAGATTTTATTTATTTATCTTTAGAGAGTGGAAGGGAGGTAGAAAGAGAGGGAGAGAAATATCAATGCGTGGTTGCCTCTCGCCCACCTTCTAATGGGGACCTGACCTGCAACTCAAGCATGTGCCCTAGATTGGGAATTGAACTGGTGACCCTTTGGTTTGCAGGCTGGTGCCCAATCCACTGAGCCACACCAGCCAGGGCCCTTTCTTTAAGAAAAAACAAAAAACCCTCACCTGAATATATGTTTATTGATCTGAGAGAGAGAGGAAGTGTGTGTGGGGGGAGAGAAACAGCAATATGAGAGAAACCTTGGTTGCCTCCCGTACCTACCCCAACCAGGGATCAAACCTGCAATCTAAGTATGTGGACATCGAACCCACAACCCTCTAGTGTACAGGACCATGCTCCAGCCCACTGAACCATCCGACCAGGGCTTCAACACCTTTTAAGATCCCTTTGGGCTCTGACATTGGATAGTTCTGCCCACATTTTTCTGCATCCTTAAGCTCACCACACATCCGACTGTGTAGTGAAGATTCCATCCATCAGACTTTCTGGAGCCATCCACCGAACAGGGAGCAGGCCTTCTCCTCTCTTCCTATAGTAATCATTTTTATAGATGTCCCTCGCGAGTCCAAAGTCCCCAATCTTCACTATCCGTGACGGACTGCTATAGTCCTTCACAGAGACAAGGCAATTCCGAGCTGCCAGATCCCTATGGCAGAAGCTATATTTAATCATCATCATCACCATCATCATCATCATCATCATCATCATCATAAAGATCCAGAGATCAGACAAGTGACACTAGCAGGTCTGTAGAGAAGGCAGACTTTTTAAAGAACTATTGCTATTTTGAAGGAATAAAAATCTTTAATTATTTTCTTGTTTTACCCAAACTGCAGGTGGCTATTGTGCCAGTATCCATAGGAACCTTGCATCCAGAATATTGCCGTACCTGTGAATAAAGTGCAGCTGCTCCAGGTAGACACAGCCTTTTGAAATATCTATGCACAGGTCTACGAGGTCAGCCAAAGTGAGTAAAGGACCATGAAGCTGTAAGAAATGAAAGGAAGATTACAGGCACTCATTCAGTTTGCACAAAATGCACATGTTGACATACATGTATACATGGCCACATATATGTACACGTGCATGCATACACATGATGTTTTAAAGAAATGTTCAGTTATGGTTCCAAGGATTCAAAGAGGAAAAGAACAAAGTTTATATGTTTTCTTCCCAAATAAAGATAAATAAGACTACATTTAGTAAGCAGAGGCAATAACAGGACCTTTGTTGGAAACAGGGTACTGGTTCTGACAGACCAAGGTTTACAACTTAGTTTTGCTACTTACTTGCTGTGTTAACGTGATCACTTTGCCTTATTCACTCAGCAACTTTCTCTAGGTATAGTGGAAATGATGAACCTGATTTCATAGGATTTGTGATAACATATATAACCTGGCTGGCATATAAAAAGCACTTAATAAACAGTAGCTGCTCTCATAGTGTTAATAATGATAGTTTAACCAGCACTTGCCAGTTTAATTATTGGCCCAATGTCACGCTATACTGTCAGTCATGACAATGGGATTCTTCCTCATATGAGCCCCATATAAATTGTTAGCAACACAGAATCTATTTCAGGGTCACAGATTATTCTTCTTATCTAAGACAGCCAACACAGAAACTGAGAAACTGAGAACTGAATAACTGAGCCTGAAGTGGCTACAGTGATTTCTACATTTAAAAAAAAAAAGCCAGTTCAAGTACTTATTAGTACCACATGGAAAAAACTCAAAGTCCTTCTCAGACACTACATATGCATACCCTCTGCCCCTTGGCATCCCTGAAATTACCCTGGTCCAGACCTTTATCATCCCTATCTGACTCATCCCTAACAAGGGCTGGTCCCAAACCGGCCACGTCCCCAGCAGCCTGTGCTTTAATTAGCTCATTCCGCTGGGGCCCACTGCCTGTGGGCTTCCTGACAGACTCCTGAGCACAGCTTCCATGTCAGCCCCAGCTGCACCAGCCTCTCCATATGTCCGTCCATGTTCCTAGTTTCCCCTCTCACAATTTGTGCTGTGGTCACACTAGAACACTACAGCTTTTTTGTTTTGTTTTTAAAGATATTTGTATTTATTTATTTTCAGAGAGAGGAGAAGGGAGGGTGAAAAACAGGGAGAGAAACATCAGTTGGTTGCCTCCTCTTTGCCCCCAAATGGGGACCTGACCCATGACCCAGGCATGTGACCTGACTGGGAACCAAACCCATGACCTTCCGGCTCGCAGGCCGGTGCTCAATCCACTGAGCCATACCAACCAGGGTGACACTACAGTTTTTATACTTTCTCTGCAATTCTCAACCTCCCTTCTATATTCCTGCTAGCACTATTGCCCGCAATGCCTTCCTCAGTCCTAATTTCCATTCACATTCTTCACTGAGCACCTATAATGGTTCCCAACCTTGAAATCCCTAAATTTCCCATAGGTGTTCTTAACTGCTGCTCCCTCCACATCCCCAGCAACCTTGTGTCTTATTCCTGATAGGAAGAATCCTGATATTCTGGGACTTAACATTGCCATGGTCCCAGTCAACCACACCTAGGTCTGACAACCAGGGTGGGACTTACTCCCAAGAATCAGTCCCCTGAAGTCCTGTTCAGGGCCACTAGTTGCCTCTCATGGCATGTGGGCATCTGAGTAACCAGTGTAAATGGAGCTCTGCTCTTGGCAAAACCTACCCTACTTGTAAAGACTGTCTTCGCAGAGAATGAATCCTGCTCCTGAACTTTAGACTGATGGCTAGCGGCCTGTACTCTGCTGACAGATTTTCAGAATGCTGCCCGCCTGCCTGGATTTCTAAATATCACTTGCTCCTGAGAGATCAGTGACAACCTGCTGGGATATCTCATCAGCCCTTGTTGGGTTTATTTGACTCCAGATGCTATCCTGGGCTACCAACTATCATTTCTTGCTAAACCCTCTGGAACATTGAATTTCCTTCCAGATCTATTCCTTGGTCAAAGCCTTTCAGAACTCACACAGCTGTAGTTTCAGAGAGCTTTCTGTCTCTCGCCTGGCTTGCTTCTTCTCCACAAAGTCTTTCCAGGACTTCCCAGCTGGGAACCATCTCTCTGTGCTTCAGCAGTAGATTCTCTACTCCTCTCTACTGGGCCCTCCCGCTTTCTGCCTTAAATGGGTTATTTATATGCGACATTCCGCCCCGCCATGTGGCAAGTTCTATGAAGAGCGATATTCTTCAGAGTTGTACACTAAACACCCAGCAAAGATTTGATGAATTAAATTGTCTTGGATATGTTTTTGTATTATTTTGATAGCTTGGTTTTGTTTGCTAGTTTTTACTTTTTCTATCTTAACACAGTCTTGGAATATCAAAGTTAAAAGTAGCCTGACAAAGTTTTTGATTTAATATTCCATTTTATACATACAGAAACTAAGATCCTAAAAATGAAGGACTATTAGGAGTGTCCAAGCTTTTGGCATCTCTGGGCCACACTGGAAGAAGAATTGTCTTGGGCCACACATCAAATACATTGTGACACATAATCACAAATAAATCTCATAACATTTTAAGTGAATTTAAAAGTTTGTATCAAGGGCTAACTAGATCCTAGATGTCCTCACTGTAGCTGAAGGCTTTCCTCTGAGGAAAACACATACACACACACACACAGTGAACCACAGCAACACCAAGTTCAAAAACACCAAACATCCCAAGGTGCTCTGTTGAACATGGGAAGTGAAATTAAATAAGCATCCACATAGTGAGCCTTGAGACCTCTGGCCTCTGTCTCCCTCCTGACTCCTTGAACAGAGGCTCAAGCTTTATTCCTGGACAGGAAAACTGCCAATCCTCCTCTGGTGAAGATAGGCATATGCCAGGGATGACATCCAGGTGGTGTCATAGGGGACCCCGAACAGAACAGCTCGGGCCCACCTGACAATCCAAATGAAGCTGCTATAGACACATAGGTTCCAATCCGCTATTAACTATGAAGGTCCCACTATTAAATATGAAGACCAGCCACACTTTGCCGAAGAGTAGAGAAAATCTCACATGGCAAACAGATCCAAAGAAGAAAGGAGGCAACCAGGACAATTCAGGAACCAAAGTAACTATTTAAAAAACTATAATTGGCATCCTAGGAAAAATAAGATTTTGCATGTATGGGAAAACCCCAGATAATTATTTTAAGATGTGGTCAAAATACAGGGCCCAGCAGAAGTAAGGCTTGCTTGAGTGTGGTTGGCAGGATAATAATATGGGTGTAATAATTTATAGTTTTAATTTGAACATTTCACCTAAAATGTCATATGGTGTGCTTGAGTGTGGTATTGTTATGTTACAGAATTACATGCTTACACTTTTGTAATAAAAGATCTCGTAATAAAAAGGGTCATTATTTGTGCCAGACCCTGTATAAGAATGAATCTGTAAAATTAAAATTTTAAACTCTATAAAATAGTTTAGGAAATCTACCAGAATCAAGAGCAAAAGAACAAAGAGGAACAAAGAGAGAGCAGCTAATAAAAAATGATGTAACAAAGCTGTCCATTGTTCAACTAAGAGGATTTCTAGAATAAGGAAATAGAGGGAACAAAGGTATTTTTTATCAAAGAAATAAAATGAAAAAATCCCGGAATTGAAAGGGATGATTTTCCAGGCTGAGTATCGAGATGTGTAAAAAGTACCACAGATAAGGAGAAGTTCCTACAATTTTCCGAAGAGGAAGGGCAAAATGCAGGTCATGGATCATCAGTCTGGGAACCAGAATGACAAGAGACTTCTTAAAGGCAGCTGTAGAAGCGAGAAAACAAAGGTGTGGTGGATTTGTTTTTTGAGAACAAGGGGCTTTCAATCTAGAATTAACCAAGTTATGAATCCAGTGTGGGCGAAGAATAAAGGACATTTCCTCAGAAAAAGAACAAAAGGCAGTTTTACCCTCCTGTGCATGCTTTCTCTTTCCAAAACAATAGAGACATTGTGGAATGGAGAAAACAGAGGCCCGACGTGGACGTTACCAAGGTGAACCTGAAGGAGACCTCTAGGAGAACAGCCGTGTAGACAGCGGAGGACAAGCCCCCATGTGAGCCCAAGAGGGAAGTGCCCAAGAAAAAAATTTGTTACACGCTGGATTATCTGATATATTTTACCATAGCAAGGAGAGTATGACAACTCTGTTGGGAAGTTTTGGTGTATAGAAAACTAAGCTAATGGAAAAGAAGGCACATTTATTAAATGAGCTTAAGGAAAATACACAAGCATAGCACTTGAGTAACTCAGCTGCGAATGATACTTAGGCAGTCACAGTAATGTAAACCTGCAATAGTGATTTATCTGAAAATCGTGACACTGTTGGGGGTTGGAGGAAACAACGTGTGCAGAGTGGGTGGGGTGGGCTGCTACACGAGGACATCTGAGAGGGTTAAATCCTCATCCTTCACAGCAGGACGTCCATAATTTCCCTCAAGGTCGACCATCAGTGTGCGGCACTGGCAGAGTGTTTGAGAGCCTGGAGGTGAGTACAAGAGAAATGTGCAGCTGCCTGGGAGGCGGGGATAAGATAGAACACGGGATGAGATAGTGAAAAGCTCCTCATTGGCACAACATGTAAACTTTGTCCAGTATCTAAATTTGGTAGCTATATAATGTATACTTTGATATAAATGAAAACCAAATTTTTTAAATCTATAGATTTACATTCTAGTTTCCTGTTTTGTCTCATGTGTTTCTCATCTAAGGTTGAATGTAGGGGGTCCCCAGGTGCCTCCACAGGGTCCCCACTGTGCCAGGAACCACTCTAGGCACCGGAGAGAGAACTGGCTGGACCCGGGCTGCATCCTGCGGACAGAGCTGGAGAGCCGACAGGACCTTTCGGAGTGGTTGTAGGGAAAGAGAAAGCAAAAAATTGGATGGACGGCATGGAGGAGAATGTATGAAATGAATTTTGTTTTGCCCCAAATTAGTTTCAGTTGCCTATGAAAATCCAAACAGGTATGTCAGCTGGGTGGGGATATGTAAGTCTAGTAAAGACATAAGGGCGGGAAATATCAGTTTGGGAGAGACAGACATAAAGTACAGAGAAAGATGTGCCTTTTTAAACTCCACACAATCTCTGTTCTCCAGAAAACATGATTCTGGCAGTGAGGGACCTATTTTCCCATAAAATACAGCAGTCAGGCTCAAATAACCAGAAAATGCCAGAAATTAGTTCAAGGTGCTAATTGTCCTTATCCAACATGAAGGATATTTCTTTCCAAGGAAGTATTCTAAGGTTCTCCCATTGGCCAAAACTGCAGCCTATTGAATTTAAATAAAACTAATAGTACATTACAGGGCACATGCATTACAAAACCAATACTGTGAACCTTATTCCCCACCTTCGTCATCCGGGCTTTACGTAAATAGGTGAGGAGGTCTCCTCCTTCCATCAGTTCCAGGATAATGTACTGGGGTTCATTCAGCAGACAAACTCCAAGCTGCTTCAGGATGTTGGGATGATTAAACTTGCTAAACGGTGGAAAGAGACAGGCGGGATGATGTGACAGAGAAAGAAGTCCCAGCTGAGTGCCTTTATGGACTAGAGCAATTGCTTGTCTATAGTTTCCATCAAAAGCCCTGATTTTTTTTCTCTGATAAATGAAGGCTTCCTCTTCCAAGGGCTGTTCTGTGTTCTTGCCTTGCAGAGGTAATACGGCAACCTCTAGTGGCCAGGCACATGGATAGGATGGGGTGAATTTTAAAACAAATCATGTTTGTATTCAAGTATTTTGTGTTTTGGAAAAAAAAGTAATTTTAACTAATTTCCTTCTTCAAAAGACAATTGAAAACATTATATTTCTTATCATCACAAGCATAAAATATTACTCTCTCTTTTTTAGAGTGACAACTCAGACAGGCTCCAAGTGTTTTCTCAAGATATCAAAGCAAGTAAACCCCAATCTAATAACTAGAGCCCACAGCTCAGGACCACTGCCTCAAATCTTCCTGTTAAGAGGTCTTTGAGCAGTTTTTATGCCCAACGACTAATTCTGACATCGAAGACCAGTTTATCAAGGCAAGGGACATTTTCATTGGCATCATTGCACTCGAGAGAATTCTCTTTCACTCAGTCTACTTCAACCCTTATCATACATTGAGAAGCCCATAAGCATGTTTAAAGCGGAACAGCTTCAGAAGTCACTTGCAAACACACTTCTTATTGAAGGTAAAAGAAAGGAAGACCTTTTGCCTGAGGACAGCCTGTACCCAGGCTGGGAAGACTGGCTTATGCAGAATACTTGTCATTACAGACATATTTCCATTTAAACTTCGGCCATGTTCATTTTGGGCATGATTTATTATGTCAGGGGATTTTGAATGTTAAAAGTCTACCAACCAGTTGCAAAAGCTTCCTGCCCATATCAAGGAACATTATTTCAGAGCTGCCCTAATACCTCATCAGATGTGCCTCCTTCAGGAACTCAATCTTCTCCTGGTCTGTGGAGCCCTTCTTCAAAGTCTGTGCAACACAAAAACAAGCCAAGGATCAGTCTAGAAGACCTTTCTGTGAGCTCGTGGATTAGTGGAGATAATCTTTGTTTTGTTTTGTAATATCCACCATGAAAGTTCAAAATAGATCATGGATATTGAATGTGTATTGCTGTGTAAACTATTCAAAAGATAGCTTCTGTTATTGAAAGTATTTAAGTAGAAAAATCTGATAAAAGATCTAGTAATATTTATACAAAGTCTCTCTAACATGTAGACATTTTTTAAAAGACCAAATTTGGCATTTAAGCTAATTTCCTTTTTTTCTTTTTTTGTCCTCATTCGAGGACATGCTTACTGAATTTTAGAGAGAGAGGGGAAGCGAGGGAGAAAGAGGGAAAGAAGCATCGATGTAAAAAAAAAACATTGATCAGTTGCCTTTCCTTTGTGCCCCAGCCAGGGACCAAATCCATAACTCAGGCATGTGCCTTGACCGGGAATTGAATCCATGACCTTTTGATTTAACTCGATGATGCTATAATCAACTGAGCCACACTAGCCAGAGTTAATTTCTTAATTTTCAAAATTTTCTACTCAATATCTGTTCCCCTACCTTCTTTGTTAACAATATCATAATTTGTTTCTCAGAGGCAAGGTGCCCAATCCCAGGCAATTAATCTGAGATAATTATGAAAATCATGTTCTGCAATTCTCCTGCCTCCCTTGCAAATATGGCTCCCTTCTGATCAGTGAATGTTCTGGCCTGAATGAAAATTCAATGCCTGATTTTTCAGCAACCATTTTGGGACCGTGAGACAACACACATGTACAAAGTCAAGAGAATTTCACATATGCTGGCATTGCACTAAAGGTAGCAGTCATCTGGTTATGTGAGAAAACGAAACATTTATTTAAACCAGTTGAGAGAATCTTGCCAGCTTTTCTGGTTGTATAGCCCACACTCAAAGCAACAAATTCCTAACAAGCTGTGGTCAGGGTATTGTTCAGTTACGTAAAAGATTCATCATCTCTCAATCAAAAGAAAGTCTTGCAAAAATCTGATAATATATCCAGTGCTTCCTTAAAACCACATTAAAAATACATGATGAATAACTGTGGAGCACAGGTCAGCAAAGTAGAGTCTATGGACCAACTCCACCAGCCACCTATTTTTGTATTGCTGGCAATATGAAAATAGTTGCGACATTTATATTATATTTTATTTTTTTCTAGCTTTATTGAAGTGTAATTGACATGTTACATTTTTAAATGGTTGAAAGAAGAAAATAGCACTATTTTATTACACATAAAAATTATTATGATATTCAAACTTCAGTTTTCAAAATAAAGTTTAAATGAAACATAACCACCCTCATTGGTCTACAAACTGACTGTGGTATAGCTGCAACTGCCATGAGATGACCACAAGCCTAAAATATTCACAATCCGCCCTGCTACCCAGGACCTTGAGAGCGTGCTTAACAAGCCCACTTCTCTCTAGTGTATTTGCAGGGAAAACGTCTGGGTGTCAACTAATCAGAAACCTTAAAGTTTACTATCAATTTCAGAGTTCATGTAGGAAAGGGGAAAAAATGTGATTTCTGTAGCCATGAATAGGCTCCTACCTTCTACTAGTTCTCTTTTCAATTAATATTACTCATCTTTTATTGTAGTTGCATCCATGCAAATCCGTGTAAATGTGCAGACACAACATATCAAGGAGTTAGAAGATCCACATTACCTTCACTGCTACTTTGGTTTCTCCACTTCCAGCTCCTAAGATGTCTACTGCTATCCCCTCGTACACTTCTCCAAAGGCCCCACTTCCCAGCAAGAGACGCAGAGTTAGTTTTTCCCGGGGGAAAGCAGGAAGACTTTCAATCTCCTCTTGCGTTGGAAGAGTACTAGAAAATAATAATATTTTTGATCCGCCAAAATATACAGTTTGAAAGTGGGTGTTGTTAGTGCTCAAGAGAATATGAGAAAGAAATCTCACGGCTTTATAGCACTGCAGTGCATTCTACACGAGACAGTGATGTGGAAGTTTGCATTCCCGTCCCTTCCTTATTCCACCATGCAGAGTATGCCTTCCTTATTCTGAACCCCAGACAGACCATGTCACTTTGCTTCCAAGCATCTTCATTTTGATAGAAACATGCCCTAGTGAGTATTGCCTCAAGTTTTTGTTTTTCTTTTTGCCATAGCTTGTTTTGTTACAGTTACCAATTATTAATTTCTTCAGGTTACCAATTTGTATATATAGCTATTGTAAATTAGTAATAAATACATCTGGATTTATGAGCTAAAAAACATTTACTTTAACAATTTCACACACCTGGTCTCGTATATAAAACAAAATTTACCATGACCACAAAAATCAACTTTGTTTCCATCAGGTTAACTTTTAGAAAGCCAGGCTTCTCACTTCGAATACTACAAGGGGGAAATGCATCTGCATTTAAAATGCTTTGAGTTTTTCAAAGAGAATGTTGAATGTTGGATGTGCTGAGTATTTTTCTCAAGGAAAGTCACCTCTGAGTAGCTAATTTATATCACCTCTGTGTCTACTCCAAATCCTTCATTTTTATGTGTTTAATTACAAATTTTAAGGCCTATGACTACATAACCCCTTTGTGTATAGGTCATATAATACAGTGTCTTGTATAAAAAGACGTTTAAATATTTTCTTTAATTATAATGACAATAGAAGTTCATCTCTCTTGAGGAGTTTTTGAAGCCAGCCAGCATACAACTTCTGAAAACAGGGTTAGATTGCATTTGTAGCACACCCATATCACTCTTGAAATCCCTCTCTTCCAGATGCCTCCTGCTGACCCAACCATGTTACCATCTACTCTCTTCAATGTAGTATTTATCTCCTTGTTTCATTTATTTTTGAACAATGTAATAAAACACTAGAAAATAACTGATATTTGCTTATTTTCCTTAGGATAGAGTAACCATGTCATTTGCCGTCCACCCCAGGGCACATTTGAGGGCACTAGGGTGTGTTGTTAATAACTACGCCAGGAGAGCAGGCATGAAGCAGGGCAGCCTGGCCCGCTCCCCACCCAGATGCCCCATGGTGACAGCCCCCATCACACACCGTATGGCACAGCAGCCATTAGCCAGTCCTACTGTGGTGGCCAGGCCTCTCAGCTCAGCCAACTCCTTGTCTTCGTTTATGAGAACTGTCAGCCCTTCTTTGGGAGGTTTTTGATTCTTTAGTCTTCTATGCCAGACTATAAAGAAAAACAGACAAAATTTACAAAATAAAGTGTCGCTTCTTTTTCCCGTTAGGAATGTTAACAATACATTTTAAACACTTATCTATAAGAACACTACTGGTAAAATAACCAAATTTGATTGAAAAAGACACCCATAATAAAAAAAACTAATTAGCCTTCGCCAGTGGGGCTCAGTTAGTTGGAGGGTTGGCCCATAAACCTAAAGGTCTCGGGTTCATTTCCTGGTCAAGGCACATGTGTAGGCTGCGGGTGTGGTCCCCAGTCAGGGAGGCAGGCAACTGGTTGATGGCTCTCTCTCACATCGCAGTTTCTCTCCTTCCTTTCCCCTTTCTCTAAAATCTATAAGCATGACTTCAAGTGAGGATTTAAAATAAAATTTTAACTAATTAAATCTAGGTACAAAGTCACAGAAAAACACATAGCTTATACCACCTCATTTTTCATCTTGTATCATAATAATATTTAACATATTTCTTACTACTATTATAAACAAGTTGAAATATCATAGTATCAGAACTTACAAAATCACACATAAACCAAAGTCAAACCAAAATATACTTGCAGAATAATTATTAGTGAAACAAATTCATTTCTGAGTCCAGATATGTCCAGGTTATACTCCTCAGTAGAGCTAAGGAGTGCTTTCAATATAATTAATGGCTATAATGGCATGCTTTATTTAAATGCAGAGTACAACAATGCAGAGCATATATCCATTGTTGTTCCATATACATCTATTCATATACACACCAAGTGTCAGCAGTGGTCCTCCCGAGTTGTGAAATCATGGGTGATTTGTGTTGCCTTCTTCATACAATGAGCAAATATTTTTATAATCATAAAACATAAATGATATTTTAAAGATTAAAATATAATTATGTCAATAAGATCACCCATCTATCTTAGAGTATTGGCTCAGAAGCTGAAAACAGCATTGCTCCTTTGTTAGATGGTCATGAAAATTTGAACTTTATTCCGCAGTAGCTTCTGTATTCAACAGGCTAGAGTTTTATTCAAGTGAAATTCCATCTGAGGCACCACACAGGGATAGATCTTAAGTAATTTCTCTAATGCAATTTTTCAAACCCAAAATGCTCTCATTACCCCTCTTCATTCTTAAAGTCCCAGGTTAATGTCCTCCATCTTCAGTGACATCTTCTGAGACTTCTGCAACCTCTAAGTTGCATCTCTGAACTTATAAGACTAACTGTGGCTCTCAGCACTTCTATGTCACTGTCTTGTAGATTTCATGTACCATTCATTGCCTTTTATTGTTAACACATATATCACTATTTATCTTTTTCACACAGGTAGGTCTTACCTCCCTCATTAAATGGCAAGATCCCGAGGCTGGTCTGTCCCTGCTTTATCTTCCCCTCTGTTCCCAGCATATGGCTAATGTCGCACACAAGATGTGACCAGAGCAAAGACTGTCAATGCTTATTTTTAAATCCTTGTTTCAATTTTATATTTATAAATATGAGTGATGAGAACCTCCAGCACAATACAAATTTTAAAACAACTGCTACTTTTCATTACTTTAATAACTCTGCCTTTTCTCATGCACTTACACACCCTTACTTGTACAACCACATGCACTGTTCCTAAATAACCGGATTAGCTTATCTATACAGAAAAATCTGTGAGTTCCAAATAGAATAAAGACCTTTAAGTCCTGAGCAAGTCAGATATCCAGGGGATGTCTTG